GTGTTAGAGGGTTGGCACTACAATGGGTATCCAGTTATTTGAAAGATAGGAAACAGTTTGTACAGATAAACTGTGTAAGATCTAAACTTGGTATCACATGCGGAGTCCCTCAGGGCTCAGTACTGGGAAGAAGTTATTTATTTTATATGTAAATGACTTACAAAATGTGTCAGGACTTTTCAAATGTGTTTTATTTGCTGACGATACAACATTTTTTTGTTCATCATCATCATCATCATCATCATCATCATCATCATTAAACTTTATAAAGCGCTATAACATCAGCCACTGCTGAAATAAAGTGCTGAACACATGAAATAAAAACTCAATACAAAAACACAATAAAATCAGTAAAATCAGCATCATCTCATTAACCTAATCATCTGAACCAACGAATTAACTCTAAACTAGGGTTGGGCAATATTGGCAAAAAATTAWCACAATTAATTGTGGTATTTAGCCGATAACGATTAATTTGACGATTAATACCCTGGAGTCCCTGGACACCCTCCTGTCCTAGTCACACGACCAATTTAGTGGGAAAGATTTGCTCTTCATAATAAGATTTATTCTTCTTCTGCTACCTTTCATTTTATTTTGATTTGTATATTTTTTGGTTATTTTTTTATTATTGTATATTGTATTTTTTAAAGAAATGAATAAACTATTTTGAATTGAAAAATTTGAATTGAAAAAAAAAAACACTACAGGCATGCAGTGTCAATATAGCTTGACTTCATTAGGAACATGTAGACCTTTCACCGCTGCCACAGCATTCTCTACCATCCGCTCCACCATCTTTTTTGTTGTTGTGAAGGTGTTGGTGCCAACATGGGGAAGGATCAGGGCGTTGGGGAGCCTGAGTAGAGGGTGATCCCTGCACAAACCAAGATGTTAACATCAGTTTCTCTTCAGACCTGTGACGTTTTAAAGTCCACCGGAAGAAGAGAGAGGGGCTTGTTTACCTGGGTAAAGGTTCAGGATGAGTCACATCCAAAGCTGCAGCTCGAATCGTTCCGGACTGCAGAGCTTCAACTAAAGCGTCCTGATCCACAACCAGACCTGACATGGGAGAAACTGTTTAGCATTGTGGGTAAAAAAAAAAAAAGGGGGGGGAAAGAAAAAAAGATCTGGTAGTGTTTTAAATCCAGGGGAGGCGTTTATCCAACCTCTGCTGACGTTGACGAGTGTTGCTGTGGGTTTCATGATGGACAGCTCTCTGCGGCCGACCAGGCCTGTGGTCTCGGGGGTCAGGTTCACCACCAGCACAACAAAGTCAGACTCTTTCAGCAGATCGTCCATGTTCTTGCAGTAAGTCGCTCCCACCGCCTGCTCTTCTTCAACACTCCTGARCAACACCAGGATAAACAAGATGGTCACCACAGCTAAATGACACCAGCCTACACAAAAACAGCTATATCTGTGTATTTTAGATACTGAAAAAAATTATCTGACAATCTGACAAATTACCTTCTGTTTCTGTTGTGATACAGGATCCTCATGTTGAAGCCTTTGCTTCTCTGTGCGATTTTGTAACCGATGTCTCCCATTCCAACGATSCCCAGAGTGGAACCTGTGACTTCAACTCCCATCAGGCTCTGTGGGATGTGGGTGGTCTTGGGGTCAACGGATACCATGTGACCTGAAAAGAGACAAATCACAACTCTTTAAACAGTGTTCAGCTTAAATCAAGGAAGTAAAAAGAATCGAGATCGTGGGAAAAAGTTTTCATCACCCTCAACGACCTTCCGTGCCGATGCCAGAAGAAGAGCCATGGCGATGTCCGCAGTGGCGTCGCTCACCACGCCGGGCGTGTTTGCCACCTTCACGCCAAAGCTGTTGATGAGCGGCACATCCAGGTGGTCCACGCCCACTCCTCCGTTGGCGACCACCTTCAGGGACGGCAGTGATTTCAGCAGCGAGGGCTCGGCCGCAGGGCAGTAGTTCCACATGAACAACACCTGGATCTTGGGGCCGTGCAGGGCGGGGTTTCGTAGAAAGTCTTCGAGGCAGATGATGTGGAAGTGCTGCTTCATGATGTCGACAACTTCTGCAACGTAACCGTCGCCGCCCACCTCAGAGATCAGAGCCCAAGCTTTGTCCTCTGCCATTTGCTGTTTCAAAAGAACATTTGTTTTACCTGTTTTCTCTAATCTTATTAATACAATGTGTACATGCAAAACACAGAAATAAAGAGCTAATTTGCACATATTTATTCATTAATTTGTATTAATCAACAAATGCGTCTTTAGCATTACATATGCAGTATAAAATAAAGACTAAATGTTTATGTTTAGGGGAGTTCCCACACCTTGGCCAACATCAAATTCAAGGAGCTTTCAAGGACTTTCCAGTACCAATTTCCTCAAATTCAAGCACCACACGCAACGGCAATTACATACTGCTACTACAGAATGTTACCAATAAACAGGTTTAATATGTAAATTCAATGAAAAACTGGACATAGAAGTTGTTGAGTCAGAATCAATGAAAGAAAGTGGATTAAATGTTTACCCTACATTCATATCCACAATACATGAACATGTAATTATGTCCTGGGAGGTTGGGCAGCTCAGTTTGGGAGGAGGGGATGTGAACAGGTCCTGATGTTCAGTGAGGACAGAAGCTGTGGTGCTTCCACCTGGGCTCAGAAAGAAAGACCCGCCCTACTCTGCTCTGATTGGCTAAAACTATGACTGTGGCTCATGTTATTTGTTGAAAGCCACGTCAGTTTACTGTAACACTTATCCACCGCAGAAATAGTTTTTTTATTTTATTATTATGATTTCTTCATACAGATGATGAAAATCAGTTGTGTGAATAGAGAACTTCAACCCCCCCCAAAAATTCAAGGACTTTCAA